CCCCAAAACCCCAAAACCCCAAAACCCCAAAACCCCTAACGTTTATATCATAATTGGCTTGTAATAATTTAAAATCTAAATTTAAACGATGGGAGGTAAGCCACCTACACATAGATTTTGACTGAGTCTCCCTGCTCCACACTCATTTTACGGAGATACACTTCCATGCTAGCCAAATAGGAGCTAATAGCTCTTTATAGAGTTCGAAGAGATTATAAAAATGTATAACCTCGCATGATGGTTCAAAGAAATGGATAGCTCCAAAAAGTGCATAGAACAACTTATCACTTGTAATGAATTGATGGAGAAATTAGTCTTAAAATTCGAGAAGAAGCTAGCAAGGTATTAATTCTAATGGCCAATCTAACAATTTTACAGCTCTAAGGCCTTATTTTCCACGAACAAGCTGGTTCTTGGTAAGTGAGAAATCTGTGAAATTGTGTATTTAACTGTCTCTTTCAGAGAGGAGGAAAGAAATATACCTGAGTAAACAGCTCCATGTGCTCAGATATCACACCAAATTTACTATACAAGTAATCCAATATGAGTATTTTAGATCTGTGCTTTATTAAGCCAAAATAATAACCATCAAGAAGCATACAAATTCTCTGTGCAAGGTATGAAGACATGCAGAGAATTAGTGAAATAAGACATCAATATTGATGCAGCACCATTTAAATTTGTTCAAGAGTTCATCGCATACAGGGTCTTTGAATATGAATAACCGGAAAATGTCAGAGCAGCCGATAAAAAGTCTCAGTAAGGTTTACTCTGAGTCTTTGCTGAACCCTTCTCACAAAACCAGGAATGTTAAGATGCAGAAATCAACTTCCCAGGCAAATATTTCTAAGGGTATTCTTCATCTAAACCTTCTAGATCGGAGTTTGAGGATCCGAGAGACTAGCCTGGATTCGAATAGTGTCGAAAGGATGCATACGTTCAACATAAAATCAACAAATCTCTCTTCAAAGGTGTTAAACACTTTGAAGCACATGACTGGTGGGAAACAAAGCTTCACAAAGTCTTCCTCAATAATTTCCAATCAGAGCAACAGCTCCAAATGATACTACGTTGAGGAGACCACTGGGTTGTTGGAGAAAAATCTGGCCAAAACCTGGCCGACCCTTAAGGACCTAATCGAGAAGGTATCTACATGCTGTTATGTGCCATAGATGAGGTTCTTCGAAATTATCGCACAAATGACCATCAAAGAACGGGATAAATTCTTGCTCTCCCAAAAAGGTATCTGACTTCCTGATTTTCATAGAAGGGAGTGAGATCTCGGACTTGCTCAAAGCGTACGGGCTCAGATATGATAACACCCAGGAAATGAAGCTCCTTGCCAAGAGATCAAAAGGATTCGCCATTAGGTAGGCAACTTTGATTATTTTTAGAAACTCATTGGGAGTTAAGCACTCAGAAGACTGGATTTTCAACCTTAATATTGGAAATGTAATGTATCTTGCGAAGATGGATGATGATGAGCTGAACTACCCAACTGATCGATACCATGAGCTCAACAAAGATGCTCTTCTTGAGAAATTAATTTTAATATCTTCATGTTACTTCTGTGTCGCGACAGAGTTAAGATTCTTAGCAGATGATAAGGAAATGTCCCGAAATGACCAATGAGTATCAAACCCTCATGCTGATATGTGGCATGCTCAGGGAGCATATATTGCTTCCAAATTTCTTCCAGAGAATTGCCCGTTAGTAGATCACCTAATCATGAGCTATGAGAAATATCATATAAAATAAAAGGCCTGAGACTTCTCCTGCTAGCAAGAAAAGTCCTCAGAATTCTAAGCAAAAGGATAAACAAGCCTCATTGAGGTCAAAACTAATGTTTAAAAAACCAAAATCTGCCAAGCAAGGAGGCCGGAACGAATCCACTCTGGGCAAATCAAAGAGCATAAAGTTGCTAAATCTCTACGTTGAGAGGTCTAAAGATGTCTTCCCTAAAAAGATGCACCTATAAAGTTTTGTAAGACCACTGCTTCATTCCTAGGTAAATAAGAAATAAAGAACGGATCAATAGCAAAAGAGTTAGCTATAAAGCTATTTCTAAACTTAAGGGTACCAATAGTGTCCAGTACCTTACTGTTAAGACTAGCAAGCGAAAAAATAGCACCTCTAAAGCTCATTCCAGCAGGTTAAGTAGCACTAAGCGAAGAAAATCTACTGGCAAGAAGTCTAAGCAGCATCTTGGCAGGAATAAAAAGGCCTCTCTAGGCAAGAGTATCTCTAAGGTATGTCCTTGTAGTACAATTTTAGGGAATTGAGAATCTTGGATTTAAGATAAAGCTTAATAATTTCATCAAAGATGCCGTCTCAGGAGACCGAAATTCCACAAATAAGATCCTTGCTTCAAAGAAATCATCTGTTAATGATCGACTACTGAAAAAGATGACTACTGGCCTTGCTAGTTTTGCCTCTCAGTTCAACCAAAACGTCACAAAATGTATGGATTTCTCTAAATAATTTAGTGGAAGATGAAGTGTGCCACGAAGATGAAGACATCCACCAACACAAAGGTAGAAAGAAGGTGTCCTGACAGCCCTCCCAAATCAAAAGTAACCGAAATGTTGTGACAACGCTAAATTCCCCTTCAAAGAGCTGGGCTAGCACCTTCATTGGGAGCCACGAGAATCACAAGTTTGAAGAGGGCAAAGAGACTAAGCCTGAATCCAAAAAGAAGAAAATAAAGCTACTCAGAGTAAGTCGCTTTTGTTACCTGATATTGATTAGGCCCAAATGATATAGAACTCTGATATCTACCTGATCATCAGCTCCGAGGATGGGAAGTCTGAGTTTAAATTCTCCAAAATGAGTAAGAACTATTAAAATAATAAAGCTGCTGAATGCCAAAACGGGGTTTTGGGGTTTTGGGGTTTTGGGGTTTTGGGG